TGTTTTCATGTACATTACTATGGATACGTAAACAAACAAACACAGTCTTCCGATTGGTTGTTTCCCACGACAAATCTTGGGAACGTAAATATTGACGTAAATTACTGTCTACCAATTTGGCTAGTAGACAGCTCTCACCACACAGTTTCTCGTCTATACCATTAGCTGACAGTTGCGCTAAATATATCGCGAATCAGCAAAAGTTGTAACATATGGACGTCGGTTCGGATCCCAATGACTGGAGGATTTACAAGCCTACCTTGTAACCCGAATGTCCTGAGTTCGAACCTTGGTGAGTTCTTGCCACCGAGAAGTATCAAAACTGAGTAGTTATCTGCAGTAGGAAAAGAGATATTTTAGACAAAATCATCTAGTAAACTGCACAGTGATGGATACGCTAAAAGCGCCAGGATCTTCCACAGCTTTTTCTCAGGTATTGAATGACATTCAGAGGTTACTTATAACAAAATGATTTACAATAAGAAAGCGCTTTAGTGTTGTTGCCCAGTGGAATATTTGTGTATGAGTACGTTAGTCTTTATCATAGAATTAAATAAAATGAAGCTTTAATGACTATTTCTGACTAATTTTGTCTTCGAATTCTTCCCTTGGTATTCGTTAGATTTTCTATTTTACACATCTATCTGAGTTACCTAACTTTTTGTAATTCAATTGAATTATCTTCGGAATCAGAAGTAATTTTGAAGTACTCTCTTCTTTCGAATAGACATGCACTAGTTTAAAGATTAGGAAATGACTGCATCAAAAAATCCTTCTCTTCACTTGCCTTTTTTTGGCTTTATTAAAACGTCTTATAACAACTACTTGTAAATCAAAGGAAAAATAATGTGGAATCTGCTACATTATCGACTTGATGACGTGCTGCTGGTGACTCTGAAGTGGGGTTTGGTAAATTTTAAAAGTCAGGAAGTAAACTTGATGATTCTACTAACTTTCTATAATCATTTTTATTTTTGAGCTTGCTTGTTTGGATAAATCGAGTAGATAACAGGCTTTCTGAAAAATTGAATAACTGAAGATATTTAATGTCGCATTAAAGTACTGACTGTACTGTGCTTATGATTTATTGCGCTTCTTCAGCATGTCTGTTGCAGTGTCCATGCGAATATGTCTGTTGCACGTTTTTTAATTCCTTTGCTTTCCAAGTGGAACATAGGGTTTGAAGCTTTGAAGTTTCGATAGCAGCGGTATTGCTTTTACGGGATGGGGTTGTTATTCTCACGCCTATTACATAATTGTCCGTTAGACACTACCTGATTCTTCAGTCATTTTGAAGATAAACAGTAATAATTAATTAAGACTTCTTATTTCTGGTGCATGTGAGTCGGATTATTTTTAACTTGATATATATACCAAATAACACATGAATAACCAATATAGATTTCTATAAGGAGCTTTCTTAAATAGAGATGAGCAATATAAGGTTCACTTTTTATCAGAAAACTAGAATTATGCACTTAAAACTTCAAAAGGTTATTGTACATGAAGTCATCAGAACCTTAGTTGATATCTATCGCGACAACTAATCGTAAAAGTGTTTGTCTGATGACGACTGGCAGTGGAATTCAGAACAACAGTTTCATTCTGTTTAAAGACACGTCAACTTGACAACTCTCAATCCCCATTTGGGTGATATTATCTCCACTGATATTGAAACATGATGTCGATTGTTTAAAACGCCAAAGAGTTATTCAGTAGGCCACAAAATCCACAAAAGTCAGCATCTCTACAGCAGATATTAGTTGTCACTTGTTGAAATAATCATTTTAATTTCCCCTTGGTTGATTTTATTGTGACGAAATGTCCAGCCTTTTATCGACATGTCCTGGATTCTACCGCCAGCTACCGTCAACCAAATGACTTAGTGCATCATTGAAGCATCTGTAATGGCTGCCGATATGTCAGCAGAGACCATGCATTTAGTCATCATCATGCATTAATCAACAGGATAATTCTAAATAACCATAAATTTTGTTTATCCAGTTGACTGAACTTCGAGTGAATACTAACCTAAATTCATCACCTTCACACGAGAATTTTTCTTATTTTGAGTGGACTATAGAGACTGTTTCATCAGGGAGTATTTTCTGAATATTCTAATCAGGAACAGCAGACAGTTAGGACTTCATACCATCATTTACTGACGTTTAAGGTGAATGCCGATTTTCTAAAATCTGTATTTAATAACACGTTTACATTTGATTTTCAACGAAACAAATGTCTTTCATTTATTTTTCCAGCTGTCATTGTGTTATTTTGTATTATAATGAATATGGTCATTTACTAAATATAATCTATTTTTCTCCAAGTATAATTCAAAAGTCTTACTTTTTGTCTCCCACTTTAATATACGTTGGATTAGTTCATTTTCGACTGCAAAATTTCAAGACCACTTTACTTAGGTGCGATTAAGATGTTTTTAAAAGCTTAGGAACTAGTCTAATTTCTTTCCATATTTGTTGAGTGTATATTGTATACTCCACAGTAATACAGCATCGACAACTGGATGACACTTCAAGCACAATTTGTTGCTCATAATCATATCGGTGTATTCACAGGGCTTCATGATTTGCTTTATGTATTTTTTCTGTTGCTGTAGTTGTTCTTTTCAATTTTCCATATTACCGATATAGGTGTTAGCATTTCAACTTACTCTCTCTCTCGCAATCCAACTATATCCCTTTTTAATACTTCCACCCTGTTCCAACTGGTTGTGTGATTGAATGCACGTGGATACACTGCGTAGTCGGTCATTCTGATCCCGGCTAAATTCCTGTATTCCAATAGTCTAACTAACCCCAATGTACTAGTGTGACCTATGTAATTGACCTCACAGGCGTTACATGGTATCTGATAATTTACATAATTTATATTATTTTTTAATTGTGTGTATTGTGTCCTCAAACAGGCAAACTTTGTCTCCGAATTAGTTGGTGTATGTAAATGTCACCCTAGTTCCCGTCTCATCAAGAATCCTACGTACTATGGTGTCTTTAGATTCCTTATTACTCATTGTTTTCCTTAGTAACAATGCTAGTCGTCCTCTCTATATGGATCTTCGTGCATTTTGGAATAAAATCCGGTGGGTAGTTATTCACCAGTAATGTTTCCTTTATTTGTTTTATTTCATTATTTAAATCTTCCAATGCATTAGTTAGTTTTCTGGTTTGACTATATAAACTCTTAGCTTAATCTACCTGTACTGGTTTTATCTGGGGTGAATCAAAGTCTAAGTATTTGTTAGAATGTGTTGGTTTCCCGCAGATGCTAATGTCTAACATATCATCCTGTTCTCATTTGTTTACTTTTGGTTAAATCTATAGTGATTAGCTTGTTCAAAGTGCATATATCAGCAACTTAGTATTAATTGCTACAGCTGTAGGATGGAGAATTTAAGACAGGAAATACACTTACTGTTGGTCAATGTAAAAACAAAAGTTGCTTTGCAGAAAAATAAGACGGAACCACTTTTAAACACTTTAAACAGTTTATAATAGTTGGTTAAATTATTATGATTGGTTCCTTTGATTCCTAGAGGAACATAGGGCTTCAGCCACACGTCTCCATTGCGTTCGGTTCTCTGCTAGAGTCTTCACCTGGCTCCAAGTCTGCACACACGCTCTCATCTCCTCTTCACATGACCTCCGCCAAGTCACCCTCACACTGACGACCAACTCGCCGCTTCCCTTTCGGGTTTCACTCGAGCGATGGCTTGTCTAGTGATGTCACTTGATGGCTTGTTTCCTCACAGTATGGCCAGCCAATCCATCTCCATTTCTTCCTGCCTATTTGTTTCACAATCGGTTCCTGCTGTGTTGGTTCGCTCATTGCCAGAGTTCTCTGTTGCTGATCTTTTCTGGCCGGCCATCTGATCTTGAGTGGTATTGAGCGAAGACAACTGTTAATGAAGGTCTGTAGTTTGCTTGAGATGCTCTTTATGACGCGCAGTGCAAGTCTCTGATCCATATAGTAGCACTGACTGACTTCACATTGGAGTTGAAAATCCGGATCTTATTTTTGATGCTGAGTGTTGTTGACCTCCACACAGACTTGAGAGTAGTGAAAGCTTGTCTTGATTTTCCGATTTTTGCTTTGATATCCTTGTCAGTTCCGTCCGCCTGTAGTTGAAACGATGCTTCCCAGGTAAGCGGGTAAAAGAGGTTGTTTCTTTCAGGTTCCTCCCATTTATGCTGATTGTTGTCAGTTGTTGTTGTTGCTGTTGATGGTGTTGCCCGGGAATCTTCATCACCTCTGCCTTCTCTATGTTCACCCGAAGTCCTATCTTTGATGCTTCTTCTGCCAACTTGTTGCTTTTCGCTTGCATATCTTCCAGTTTGTGGGAAATCAGACATATATCATCGGCGAAGTCCAGATCCTCCAAGTTTTTTTGTGTGAGTCCATTTTATGCCTGTTTCCTCATTGCCCGCTGTTTGTTGCATTATCCAATCTACTGCAATCAGGAAAATCATTGGCGATAGTAGGCAGCCTTGTCTTACTCCTGTCCTCACTTCGAAGGATTCCGTAAGTTTCCCGTTGTAGAATACTTGGCATGCAGCATTGTCGTACAGCTGTTGGATGAGATGTATAATTGTCGAGTACTGGCTGAATACTGTACATTAAATGGAAGCACATTACAGCCATAGATTTTCTATATTAATCCTTTGCGTTCCAGGTGGACAGTAGGGATTTAAGCTTCAGCCGTCAAGTTTTAGTAGCAGTAGTGTTTACTTTTTACAGGAGGGGGGAGCGCTAACCTCCCTCTTTACCTGGATCACTACCAGCTTAGAGAGGTTGAGGAGTGCATTGGCTGGGCATCGAACCAAGGAGCACGTACATGGCTGGTGAGTATATATATATATTCTACAATTTTCCAGTGCAAATGTTGATAGTCTAAATAATAATAATAAACTCATTAATCACATAAAACGATTCTGATTATTCAGTCAATAATAATTTGTTTTTATATATATATTTTTCATCCACAAATCACAGTTTATTTACATACGAGAAAAAAGAGAAATGATGTAAAAGAGAATAGGAATCACAGAGACAATTTTTTTAATCTTCATAACAATTCATCTTTTTTAAGCTTGTCAACAGACGTAAACTTAGAATTTGATCAATCACGCGTTGTACTACTTGGTATATCAGAAAATAAGTTGTGCTACGACAGCGTCATTCTTTTTGATTATACAAATTAAAGTGTTAAAGTGAATTTTGAAACAGCAGTGTATTGAAGCTCCTTGTCTCTCTTTCTCATAGTTGATTAAATACAAAGAAAAATGAAGCATAAATTGTACACAAGTAGAAAATACAAAATAGAAAATAAAATCGAATGTTATCAATTGTTTGTTAAAGGTGAAAATGCAGGGAGCGAGAAGGTCACTGTCATGTTTACTGTTCTTTTCTTCAGTGTTTCGTTACACCTGAAGTCATCAAATCGCAGTATTTATTGTTTTCCTCTCACTTGAATATTGATTCCATCAATTTTTTAAAATTATTTTTTCCTCTTTTCTACAGTTGAACATTAAATATTTAGTTTAGCAGCCAGTAGTTTGTTTAAAATGATTGAAAAGCATAAAAGTGTTCTTTGAACGAATAAATGAGATATACAATTTTTAATAGTTCTAACTCGCATACGAGGATTTTGTAATTCTTGTATATTAGGCCGGATTTCTTTTACATTTGAGAAATATTGGTTATTGATATTCAGTGAGTGGAATACGTCATCTGGAAAACACAAAGCATCAGAATTAAAGGTTGAAAACAAACTCTGAACAGTTATTATGCTGAATAAATTAAAACTTTCTGTGTATGTAGTTGAAAAACAAGGTGATAAGAAGTAGCTTTAAATGATTACCACATGAATGTATAGTATTTATTGGGACTGAAATTTTATCTTTCAACTGTAATTACCGATTGATACCCTATTTTTGGTGTTATTCTATTATCTGAGTTGGATAGTTTGTTTGGGAGGCGTCTATTGTCCTCCAAAGCAATATCTAGACAACAACTTCATTGTGAAGCTGATGCCGAAGATTTTGTCCAGAGTGTAATGAAAGCTTCGCAAACAAATCAATCAGCTCAGAGAACACAACAACAATAAAAACATCCACCTGAGTTATGAATCTTCATTGTTTCAATTACTGACAGTCTACAAAATATGAATAGTAATGGAAAACATTTCCTTCTCATGGTGATTTTGTGCCTAAAAGGTGTGAATAACATAAACTTTTGTAGGATTCTTCAGTGAGTCCGACTGATGAAGGAAGCCTGTATGAAAATTTCTCTGTGATTAGACCGCTTTTCCCAGTGATTCTGTAAAATTTTTAACTTAGGTTACTACTACACACTGGGATAGAACTGCGTCGCGTGAATACAGTTCTCTTTCTAAAATTACGCACTAGGAACATTCGCTTATTGTTCATTACTGAACTTCCCTTTTGAGAAAAGAGGAGTTGCAACAAGATTAGTTTTTACATACCCGGCTTTGTTAGCCTTAAACTATACTGTAGTGAGGAATACCAAAGTATGCTTACATTAAATAAGGGATTTTCCACAGATTTGAAAATAAATTTTAAATAACAAGTATAGGAAAGCTTAAGTTCTCGGCGTTTAGTGTAAATCTTACAGAAAATGACAGTGGCAACGTTAGTCGTCTTGGACGGACAGACTGTACAGAGGGAACTTCAGTTAGCTGAAAGATATAGACAGCACTTTCGTCAAGACATTCCCTATCAGATTGGAAATAACCATCTCTGAAGACATGTTGAAATACGGACCGAAGCTCTTGACGCATATACTGTTGAAAGGCGATGTTGAAATAATAGAGGAAGGTGATGTATCAGTAATGTTTACTAATAAGTCTTGTGAAGAGACGACTGGGAAAAGCCATGGCCTTCAACAAGCAGGCTTATTTTAGGCTATTATTTAAAGCAGACAATATCGTTTACCTGACTAAATGCCACGCAGAAAGGACTCCACCACTGACGTGTTATTTGTAAAACAAAGACGAGGGTAGTATAAAGCATTAAAACGGCAAGATAACAACTCTCGCCATATTAAATCACGCCTACTATTTCATTTTTCTGAGGAAATGAATATAGTGAGCGTACTGCTCATGTTATTAAATTAGTGGCCACCAAATACTCATGGTATTATAAGAAAATCGATCACACATCATCTATCAAACTCTGGTGAAATTACTAATGCTGGTTAAGTTGTCGAGGTCATCACCGAACAGTCGAACTAGCGACTACTAGAGATATTAACTGCTGGCATCATTCAAATGAGAGAAAAAGATTGGTTGATGTATGAAGTGAGATTCCTCACAATCTAGCTTAACCAGTTCAGTTTGAATGTATTTTCTAAACGACAATAGCTCAAGATCAGTCTTTATAGGCACTAGATGTTCAAATAAAATCTCTGAATTTAGAAATTTATTCTTCAATGATTACCGAAGTCATTAGGGTAAATAAATGACCATTTGAAACATTGAATTTATATCATAATTAAACACTCATAAAACGTGAACTGCAGAGACTAATTACAGCAGGTGAATTGCAAAGCTACAACTTTATGAACTGTAGAGCATGTTGCTATCAGAACAGATTACTTTTCTTCATCTTGGTTTAAATGTGAACTGAATATTTTAGGTTGGATTTGTTCAAGTGGTCTTTCTTGATTCATTTTGTTATTCTGAAGTTACTACATACTAACCAAAATTTTATCAGAATATGAGGATAATTATTTTTATTAAAAATGATAAAATCTCAGACAAAGTCTTTTGAGAATATCTACACAACAGCAGTTAAATAAAACATGACAGTCTAGTCCATCAGTTATCCACCATATTGAAAATGTTACTGAGAATTTCAGAAAAAGCTAAACACAATAACATATTTATCTGACCACATATAAACCATGACAGTTGACATATCACACAATCAGGTTATACAACTCTCAAATTATTTTGAATAATTTTTACAACTGAAGAGGTGGAATAAAATTTATCTAACAGCTTCCTGTTTTAAGTTTTCTTGCCTTGTGCTCATCTTGATAGTAACTTTAAAGGCCTACTGTTGATTTGTGTGTTGTTTCTTTCATACTTGCTTATTTTTTTCTCCTTCTCCTCAAAAGATCGCTTCGATAAAATATTAAATAGTGTGTAAAATTGAAATGTTGTTACATAGTGGATAGAATTCAAAACTTATTAGATTGTTTTAGAAGAAGCAGAAGGAAAAAAGAAGTTTTTCCATTAAGATTTTATCATTATAAACACACTTGTTTGATTTAAAGCACAAGATGTTTTTAATGTTATAATTTTCTATTAACAAAAAGATTTTGCTCGCCTTGTATTTTTTGATGAAATTTTTCAACGAAGGAAGAAGATAACTTGTTGTAAACGCTAATAAAACAAGATTTTAATATATATATATAGTTGATCCAACACTTTATTTATGCATTATTATAACCAGAGGATAGAAGAGTTATGATGAACATTTTTTGCACACTAATTAACTACTTAGTAGTAGTATAAAAGGTATGTAGATGACACCTTTATTATTTGTAATGGTGATTGTAACTTGAATAATATATTAAATGTATTTAATGGTTCCCATCCGGCGATAAAATTCACACTCGAAATGGAGAACGAGTCTAGCATTCATTTCCTCGATGTGAACTTATCAAGAAGGACCGATGGAACTCTGAAGAGATCGATTTATCGTAAGCTGTCATGGAATGGTCAGCTGACAAATTTCTACAGCTGGGTACCGGTTGGTCGAAAACAAACCTGATCTGGTTGCTTGCCACTCGTATTCGGCGAATATGTAACCCTGATACTGTGGAAGATGAATTATACATCTTGAGGAAAATCCTAATAGAAAATGGATTTCCACCACGTTTTATAGATAAGAATATACATTCAAATCCTAAAAAACGTGACTTATCATCCGTACCCAAGAAAATACTTTACATGAGCTTGGAATTCAAAGGGGACTTGACTTCCGATATCATGAAACGAAGGATATCACAGTCCCTGGAAAGAACATTCCCTGCTGCATCGCTGAGAATAGCCTTTACTAGTTGACCATTGCTGTTCAATATCCTGAAGGAAAAGATCCCGCTGTTGACCAACTCTATGTGTGTTTATCAATTCACCTACTCGTGTGGAGCTAGGTGTATCGGTCGTTCGACTCGAGTTTTGTCCAAGAGGGTGCAAGAACACTATCCTGCATGGTTACGAAAAGGTAGAAGTGAAGCAATAAGAAGCGCGACCATTGAACATCTGGTCGATAATGATCACCCTATCTCTATAACCTCCGCCTTTAATGTCATCTACAAGGCAAAGAGTAATTTACCTAAATCCCTAAGTACCCGACTCATCTGTATTACTGAAGCTTTGGCTATCGAAACAGAAAAGTCAGATCTCTGTGTACAGAAAAAGTTCTTTCAACTCCTCTAACTTTCATGGTCTTAATCCCTCTCTGCTAGAGTGTGGTAATCCTCAATCATATTTTAGCTCTACCAATTTTTTCATCTTTTCATTTTTGTCTATTCAGTTTGTATACTCTTTCTTATTACATCAATTGTTACTATTACTACTCTCACTTTTAACTGTCCCCGGTATTATTTCACTTGTTCCACTTGTCATTCTAAATCAATTCCTTTTTACAACATTAAATTCTATGCTATTAAATTTCACGCAATACTTAGTATATTCCATCGATGCATCACCCATACTGAACTCTGTCATTGCCTCAGATGAATGATTTGAGATCCACAGAAAAATTCATGGTTTGGATAAACTGTAAAGTTTATGTCTGAGCTTAAAGGTTTCTTTATGAAGTCATAAAGCTATGACATGAGCTTCTCCTAGATCTCAGGGACATTTAAATTAATCATCTCAACAATCAGTAAACGTAAATTGAGAACAACTTAATATGCAGACTACCTGAGATTGTTATAGTTTAATGGATTGGTATTTGTACATTGAGTGATTATTGAAGTAGGAAATAAAAATGTGTTCGATTATTATTCGAATCAGAGATCTCTTGATTATCAGTTTGTTGGTTGATCAACTGAAGTATAAGACTCAGATGTTCACAGGAAGGTTTTGACCAGCAGTTATGTAGTTGAGCAATGCATAATTGCACGTAGATATAAATCACACCATATCAATTTCGGTTATAATCCGTCAGAACTAAATGGAAATAAGGAATCGCTGTACATGGGATGGCTAGCCACACTGCAAACTTGACTTGCAAAATGCAGTCTACACCCGATAAAGAACTAGACACATGACATTAATTTCTACTTAGTGCTCAATCAGAGTACCCACTGCAGTCATATAGGAGGTACGTCGTGAGCCCGGATAACTCAGCGGTGACATCTCTAGGTAAAGTACTGGGCGTCCCAGGTTCTAATACCAGAAGGGATATGTGTTCCTTCAAGAATGCAGATATGCCTTGCCGACGAGTATCAATAGGCATGAAACCCAGGTTCGAGAATTCCAGTGTTTACAAAATGTACGGAATTCTCAGGGTAATTTTTTCAAATAATTTCTTCTTCATCCAAGATCATCACGTAAAATAGCAATCCACAGCATATTATGTAACGCAATACCATTCTACTTGAAGCATACACTAATCCCTTTTGACATTTTTCTCTTTATCTTCAAGAAATGTGAACCGGCATTTTGAAAGCCAATCAAAAAATGTGCATGAGTAGATTTCGCGACTCAAAAACATAATTGAATAGTTAAAACAATAAGAATTCGAAAGAATATGGTGCATTTTGCAGGATGGAAATTCAGATAGACCAGTAATTCAAGCAGGATACCAGTTAAAAATTGAATTGTAATTACATCAGAAAACTGCATACAGAAATTCATCCAATTGAATTACCTGTAATCTGATTTATATCCTGTTTCGTATATCTTGCTTTAACTCTGGCCGCAACATCATTTTGTGCGTGTTGGTCATGTCGTCTATCGTTTTGTACAGAGGGATTCAAATTCCAAAATATTGACAAAAGATTCCTGACTTTTGCATTTAATTCAGATTGTTCAAATGAATTATATGGAAATCTTTTTCTTACTGAATAACAGAAGAAAAATACAAGCATAATTTTATGCAAATGCTTACAAAATTTTAAAAAAATTCAATTTTGTGATTCACATTTTAAAGACCTAACAAATAATAATTAATTATATGCGTATAAACGAAAAGTACAAGTGAAATTACTCTTACTTAATGTAAAATACTTGACATCATGTCGACTGAAGATATCTCAGGTTGAGTTGCTCTGAATAAAATGTTTAGCCTATTTGTAAATTTACGTGGGCGAAAGAGTAAACTGATATCGGAGGTAAACATAGTGAGAAGTAAAATCACCTACTCAGTCTAGTTATTTATAACATCAGTGTCTGAACACCACGTCCCACTCATTAATTTAGATTATAATTAATAAATATTGGGTGCTTTTCTGTTTGACAGAAATTCATTCGGATGGCGGCCTGTTTAAAACTTGGGATACCAAATACTTCCATCTCTCTCTTGCATTATATTTTCACTGGTTCGGTTTGTTTTAATCGATTAAAATATGACGTCCGATGATATTATCTACTCTTGTGTGTATTTAACATGTCTACAAGCTTCTGGTTAGCAAGTTCCTACTAAACTTGAGAAGAGTTGTCATTGTGGATGGTAACGTGTGGCAATACATGCGATAACTGTTCTTCATTTATGTTCTTGGGTCTGAAAATATACTTCTGAGCACCTCACATGTGGCTTTCAACTAGATATCGGGGATTTCTCGAAGACAAAGGAGAAATATCATAATAGAATGGTTTGTGATTCAGCGCAGAGAGCATTATGTCACAGATTATACTGTCAATTAATATTTCACTAGGAGATATTGTACGAAGGGAAAATATTATGCAATAAACTCCTCTGAAAATTCCGTACATTCTATAAATACTGTCCAGAATAAAGATATTATTATTATTATTTGAGAACGAGCGGCTTTTACTCTATTTTTCACTGAATTCCCTAGAGAAATTCTATAATAAATGTGTAAGAATTTCAAAAGAACTGATGATTGAAAATGAAAGATGAATGTTTAAGCAGGGGGTAATTCAAAGTGTACATTTTTTAGATTTTCCACTCTCAGTTTATAATGACTAAATTATGAAACTGAAATATATCAATCAGATCTTAATTTTAAGTCAGTGAATAAAGTTTTAGATTAGCTGTGATGCAAGTTAGTGAGTAACCTGATGTTTTGTAAACCGATTTTAGGTACATCTATTCTAATAATACTCTCATTTGCTGAAATCATATTGTTGTCAGCTTCCTTTGAAAAGACATTAATGTTAATTTAGGAAATTTGACTGACTATAAAGTGAGACATTATACTGGACTGCTGAAAATTGTAAGTCACTCACTTTTGGGGCAAGCACAAGTAGAAAAAAATACTTGCTTATGAGGAGGTGAAAGATCTCTTAGTGGACACCTAAGCATTATATTTTTCTATGTGTGAAAAATTAATACATAAATTTACTAAGATATGAATATGATAATAAGCCAGTGTTACTTATTCGTCAAAATCGTCAGTTAGTTGAAATCAGAAGATTGACTTCTTAACCTACAGGTTATTAGACAACAGAATAATGTCTACTGCATTAATGAACAACTATCACGGTTAAGGAGTTTTAATGGTGTATAGATGTAGTGTGTTTATTGGAATATAGATATCCTTTAAACATACATATATACAAAATTGATATACTGACATATTTCAGAAAATATTGAATGATAAATATAAATCTTACCTGATAGCTAATGATTTGTTAGGTACTGGCTTTTTTATTGATATGGTATACCATACCACCCTTACTAAATACACTATACCTGATTACCCATGTGAATAGTACACCAACTGGCTTGTCAGTACTGATAACAAACACAAATAAAAAAGTCTCCTTTATTCCGAGGTGCTCTCTGATGAGCAACACGTCTAAATGGAATAAAATACTAACGTTATTTAGGGTACAGATTTTAGAATGTGTCTGCATAGTATGGCTGGATTACAGACTCTGAGGATGTGCGAGTTACCAGAACAAAGGAGGAGCGCAAACTGGCGTCAAAGTCTGGTCGAGTGAATAGTCATTGAAACAAAACTTGAAGCACCTAAATCATCAGTAGATCGGTTAGGTGTTTATTTAGTTAATATAAAGTTGATTAAGCCTGATCTCGGAAGCTGGACTACAGATTTCCCATTAAGTGAATAAGCCTAAAGACATGGAGTAATAAGGAAACTTTAGTAAGAAGAATCCACATATTAGGTTTTGCAAAGGCGAGTTGGTTAGGTTTTAATTGGACGGGATATGAATGTAATTACTAAGTGTGACCAGTGGCTTTCTCGTGACTGATACCTTCTAGCTTAAAACTTATTATCCTAGAAGTTAATTGGTAGGTGTTGACTAGTAGTGGGATCCAGGATGAGCAATTCGTCCCATTTGGGACTCGTCATCTGGATGTACCTGCATTCCTCAGTGAGTGATGATGTTCCCACTTACTCATCCACAAATAATCTGTTATTCTACCTAAAAAAGGTATCCGTGGCATAAGTGGTCATTATTGTAACGACAACAAATATTATATATTTTATAATTGTAAGAACATGAAGAGAAATTATTGAAAAGAATATTCTTAGTTCAGATTGACTTTTATTTCATTTCACTTTATGTTATCATGTTCTAACATTCCATCTAGTCTATTATTTTGACAACATTTCACTTATCCTATGTTTCCAGGATATTATATTCACATGTTCACATTTCCAAATGTACTTTATTTTCCGATCATCTATTTTGCGCATGTCTATTGAACTTTAGGTTGACCTCTATTTATTTAGTTATTCATTCATATATCTAATCCATTGTGACGCATAATCCCTTACACCAATATTGTCGTACTTTAGTATTTCCACTCAATGTCAAACTTTAATAGACACACACACGACTGTGCAGCTATGAAAATGCAATCGTCAAGAACAGAATTTCTTCACTGAATTCAATTTTTTCATAAAGTAAATCCTGAGATCCCATTGCCTCGAAATCATGGGCTCATACAGGCAGTTTTGAAAGTTACATGTAGATGAGGAATTCACACGTCCGACAGCTCGTACCTAGAGAATAGTTAGTGTCTGTGATAACTTTTCGGCCAACTTAGTTTAACAGTGTGATTTAACAGGAGAGGTTCACAGTCAAAGTCTAAAAAGGAACTATAACGGACTGGAATATTCAATTGATGGATCTAAAGTAGAACTTTTACCACCTAGTATTAACAGACGATATCAGGAGTGGAATACAGTCTCTGCAAGATTTGTGTACACATTTAGTAATGATCAAAAAGATGGAATGAAAAACACTATGATTCGTAAAATACAACTTACTTTTATGTGTACGAAACACGGTTGTTTTGATACGCATAATTAAAAAAAATGCGTTATTCATTTATGTAAAATTGCCTAAATAGATGTTTATCCAGAGATGATAAAAATAACTAGACAGGAAATTTGACTGCTTATCGTGATCTGTTAATTTCACATTCAAAGTGGCGCCGAGTCACTTATTTATTTACTTACATTATCGAATGTTTCTGTTGCAAAACACACCTGAGCTTAGAATGAAAATTTTGCGAAATATGAACATGTTAGTGAATCTTGGTGTGTATTACTGATGTCCGAAAGCTTAGTTTTTAGAGAGAATCTTGGAGATATATTCACGCAATAGCAGTAATGTAGTATGCATATGTATCTGGAATAAGTGTATATAAGTGTATATATAAGTGTAATTCGTGATACCTTAAGGTGTTTTCCTTGGATTAATTACAGATTTAATACAGCTTGGAAATCTAATGCACTCCGCATAAAGAACAAGATTCGGATTTTCAACATCAGTGTTAAGTCATCTCTTCGATATGCTACAGAGACTGGGTACGTCACGTAAAGCATTCCCAACAGGCTGCAGACTATCAGCAACAGCTGCGTTGCTTAAGTACTGAAGATCAAATGGCCAGAAGGAATTAGCAACAAGAAACTCAAAGAACGAACCAATCGAAAACCTATTGCTCAATATATGTGCAGACGAAAATGGAGATGGATTGGACACCTGAGGCGATAGTCAGGTGACATCGTACCGCAAGCCCTCGAATGGATAAGTAGTATCAGACGAAAAGTTGGGCTTCTTTCTGTGTTTTATTGATATACCAAAGCTCATAGATACGAGCTACTAGTCTGATGTGCTTTACAGCGCATTCTTCATAACCTTATATTAAGCCTGAATGTATCCGTTTTGTTTTAAACTTAGTTTTAAAATTAAACATTCGTAATATGCTTGTTAGGACTTTAGCATGAAGTAGGTTAGGACTCTCGCCGACCATTCACATGGTCGGGGGTCCGATCCCATGCTGACGCACACCTGATATCTATGGTCGGCCTGCAAATTTGGGCTACCGATATCACATGCTGAAAATTCCATACCTGTACCAAAAAATACGATGTGGAATCCAGCTGTAATAAAAGAAAGTATTTGTTCCATCAAAATTAAGAGAGTATTCTTGTTTAACACATGTTCAGACATTGAAACAAAGATGATCTGTCTGAAGTTGTATAGAGAATAAAGTACTATTACTTTGTTTTATTTCAAACGAGTGTCACTGTGTTAGCTATTGATAAGACAGAGAAAGCTCTCTCATGTACTTTTAGGGCAGTGGTGTTATTACATCGGTGACTGACATTGTTTTTATGCGAATTAAAGGAAAAAGAAAAAGAAGCTCAGCAAAGATATCTTCTTAGTGATTTCATCCTCAAAAACTGTACAGCCTCATTTTAAATATAATTTCACGTAGTTGTAATTACTATTTAATTTAACATATTTAAGAAGGGACATTAAAAGACATAATCATCTTTAACTTGATGTGAAAGTTTAAAAGTGTGAGTATAGATTAGAAAGAGCAAATGATCAAAATCACATAGGATTAGGAGACGGTTGAGTAATATGTATAATATGTACATAGGTCGTTCTACGGCGTCAGTTCGCAGCATGTTAGAAAGCGCTACCCAAAAAGCAGCAAAGGGTAAGCTGGTCCAGCTGGGAGCCCTACAAGTGAATATCTCGTCGATATCTGTCGTATTACATCAACTTACTCGTCATTTAGAGCCATTTACCAAGATGACAAAAATCTATCATAGACAATGTGTTTCCGACTTCTTTGTACTGCAAAAACCCCCGCCATATGCATAGAGAAATCGGAGCTATTTGTCTGAAAGAAACTAGTTCAACCCCTAAATTTACCATGAACCTAGTTCTCTATGACTTCTTAGTTGTCGTTTATCCAACTTTCGCCACCCCCCCCAGTTGTATAAAAGGACTTATTTCAATTTATTCCAGTGCACATCTCGTTTACATCTGTTCTCTTTAACAATCACTTTACATATTATACAACTATTTTGAAGTCATATTTAATTTGTTTCTATGCCTCTTGTGACCTATTCGCACCTTCACACTCCCATATCAAGTTGAAAATTATCTCATTTATTCGCCATTCGTTACTATTTTGAGCTAGATAATATTTGTAACTACGTGAAATTATGTATAAAAATGCGATTGTACAACTTGTAAGGATGAAATCGCTGGGAAGATATCTTCACTGAGCTTCCTGTTGCTTTCAATCCAGTGTTCTGACAGAAGTTTTTCACAGTTAGCGAATAAAACGGATCCATTTATCGCATCAGGTTCACACCATTAGTAGACAGTTACGTTGAATTTATTGATCATATCAAACCTAACTGCATGAATGGAATGAATTTAGATCCATGAAGCTTGGAGAAGGCGATGGGGCAACAGTTTAAAATGTTAGATTCACTAACTGACCAGCGGAGAGCGTGCTTAGACCGGTGGTCTTCTGCAGGTGACAGTGTCAACTGCAGAATATCAGAATTTATCTGTGACACAGATGCATGCATAACCTGTGAACTTATTCAGAGAGGACTTCTTAAGTATCAAATAGGAAGGAATGATTTTGCATCCGAAGTTAGGAGTGGATAAGGTAGATAAACATTTCAATTCAATCGTCTTAATGAAACCTAGTGACAAAACGTTTGGTAAGATAGTTCAGATATTCCGTAATAAGTTCGCTGACAATATATACACATGTATGTATGTATTGCCATCGTATGAAGCTGGAGGTAAACGAAAGTGGTGATATCCTGGGGATACTTGAACTAAATCGTGAACATTTCATTCAAAAGTCATCACCAAAGTAGTCGACTTCGTGAGTAGCACACAGCCAATGAAGTTTGTATACAAGTAAAACAAAAATAAGAAGTGACTTTGAAACATGTCGATGAACAGTATAAGCAACTGACCAATATTCGTGAAGATATGAACTTCACCTAGTCTGACGGCTATTACAAAACAGAAGTGCACACAGTCTGTCCAGCATCATCGCCACTGAATTTATTGCATCATTCGCAGTGGCACTTAGTATTAAGTGAAATCATGCCCGTTCAGTCATCATAGATACCGACGTTACATAACACTGGTCACAAACATGAGCAGTGTCAGCAAAATAAACGACCAAAATCTATAAGCCAGCGATCAGTACAAAAACTTCTAACCATTACAACTGTTGACCACATCAGCAACCTACACCGTATAAAATACATCGGCGTCGAAGTTAATGCAGACGGTTTGACATAAAATAGACACTGCGTACAACATAATAACATTATAAAAGAAGCTACAACAAAAATTGGGATACTGGTCCAGAGAGACGACAGATTATATTTAACTATAGGTATGTGGTTGAAAAGTTTGACTAAGTGGGAAATGAAAGTTTGCTGTTGTCTTCCGTGGGAACCTGTCCGTCAACAAAGGCTGTATGAACAATTCTTACCAAGAATTTAAGGGTAAGCTGGTTTGAGAAATTACTGCTTGTGGAGATCGCTCTAAGCAGTGTATGTAATAAGCTTGAAGCTATAGAGTCTTCAACATTACTCCAGTAATTTAAGGTGTTTCTTTTTCAGACGGGATTAGGGCACTGTAACAGTGTGGAACTGAATCACATACATAACATGTACATAATAACCATTTCCTGACTGACAGAACTAATTTTACTTTTTTACATTATTGCTATCATTATGTACCTTGTGTATGGTAGAATGCTTTATTGAATTCACGTATATAACTGTACAGTGTACAGAATATTACATGGTTAGCTATCATTGACAAAATCAAGTTGTTTTACTTATCAACGCAATTAAATTTACTAAGGGTCATTTTCCATGAGTTTCATTTATTAATAAGTATAAGGGTATACGAATAAATTGATTTCTGTGCAATTTTTTGTCAGGTATTTTGTTATTCAAACAAATCCTCTTCCTTTTTACCTTTTGTTTTGCAGTTAAATCAAGTTTTCAATAAATAATAATAAGTTTCCTTTCTATGCTGCATGACGTCATAATGTCCACAGGGAATAAATACTGTCTTGGCAAATAAAAAATAAAACTAATTTAAATAAAAGCATTGTCAAAGATAATTAGCTTTTAGATTGATAATTAGTCACTCCTAATTATAAGTTGTGTGGGGGGTGGGTGGGTAGAATAGGGAATATCCTGAATAAAAACTGAATATTGGTGAGGAAAAGACACAGATGAACTTAGTTCAGGTGTGTGGGATGAGTTTTCAATGCATTATAGCATTAAGTATATGCATATTGTTATATAATAATGATAAAGTGTTTCTACTATAGAGATGAATAAACGGACCTATGATTGATAAGATAGTATGAGATAATGTTGATTAATGATTTTATATTAGCGTAATGAGATAATACATCTAGCTGGAAAGAAATCAAAGCAACTGTTTTTTCTTTCAATATACGACACATGTTAATTAGTTAGGACTCATCTACTGAAAACAAATTTTTTTACATATCAGGTTGTGTGCCACACCTGTCGGTCAGGTTAAATTAGGCGGTCTGGAATTCGAAAATGCATTTAAGTCAGATTCTAAATATAATGAACCATATTTTTACAAGTAACGTGTATAAATAAAAGTACGTTGGTGGCACAGAGGTAGAATGCTCACCAACCACGCCTCATATGGTTTGGGGGGTCGATCCCCAGACGACGCACTCCTTTACCTCGCTAAGCCAGTAATAAAACTGGTAAAAAGGGAAGGTTGGGTATGAATCTAGCAACCCCATCCCGTAAGAATTAACACCACTGCTACTGAAACTTCAAAGCTGAAGCTTGAAGCCCTGTGTTCCACTTGGGACGCAAAGGAATTTTAAAAAAATGTATGAATAAGCCATGAAATTTTCAGTTTAATAAAAAATTTTATTGTAATCACAACAGTCTGTTTAATGAATAACAAAAAATAGAATACTTTCGTTGAACAACTTACCGATGATATCTAAAAAAGCTCTATCCACAATATTTTCTTGTCCATAATTTGCTGCTTCATACACTCTACATTCATACAAACCACCGTCAGTTTCTCTAGCTGACTGTACAGTGAGAAGGACTTCAGTGCGATAATAATTATTTAATTCACCGGTTACTTGTTTATAAATAGTAATTCCCATTGATGATCTACTGGTTACCTGTTGAAATGAATGTGCCAGCTCACCAATTCTTTTAGTAACATTTCTATCCACTGTACCATCTGAGTGTATATCAAATTTTCCGGTCAAAATGTTGTTTAGTTTGTAATTCATAGGAGGATTTGATGGCGTTTCAAATGTATATGTTGGCCGGAACCAGTCTACAGCTATACTAACTGACTGTTCTTTGGTTACACGCACTGAACATGTCAGATTAAATGAAGAGCCAATTTCAATTGAACTTGGAGAAGATATGTTAACTAGAGACAGAGTAAACCACAAAGGTGTTGAGGTTAGTGACATATTATTATGATATAATAACAGAAATAATTAGTCATAGTTAAGTATACATAATGGCAAATTAACATAATGAAATATCATTTAGTAGAATTGAACAATGACATTTCGTGTGACTTTGTTTCAAAAGTGAAGCTCCTAAAGTGTTGACGAAATGAAAGGAAAGGAGAGACAAGTAAAATAGTTACAACAAAAATAGCATTACGGATTTCTATTTGATGGGTACAGCAATCACTTACACACATCATTAGTGGAAGTAACATGTGGGCGATCTGTTTTACTTTATTCCATTACTGAACCTTAAGGCATTAATGGGATTTTTGTGAAAGTAAGTTAGCCTAAGGTTAGAGTAGTAGGCTAATGTTTGATTAGTGTTTTGTTAGTTCTACCAAATATTACACTACTTTTAAGTACTTATATAGAATGCATTTTCTAAACGGAGTGAGAGGTCGTTTTGTGAGGTGTATGTATTCAATGACACTGATATAAATAAGAAGACGAGCACACTCTCTGATAACGGATGAGAAAGAAAAAGAAGAAGAAATATCAAACATTACTGAAACTCTCAAGCAAAACAACTACCCAACGAACTTCATCAACAAAATCAACACAAACATTAAGTATGGCCGAAAACGCATTCCGAAAACATGGACCTCGACAGTCGTCATGCTATACAGAGCATAGATGTCAGATGATATCAGAAGAGTACTCAATCAGCTCGACATTAGAGTTTTCTTTAAAACATCAGACACACTATGAAACAACCTTGTCCATATAAAATATTAAATCCCTAAAGATTCTCTATCTAATTGTGTCTGTAAAGTAAAGTGCTTGGAATGTGATGCGATATACATCGGATAGACATCTCGAGAAATCAAAATCAGAAGAAATGAACACCGTAGAGCATCTGTTCGACCACCGAGAAATCCTGTTGAACTACAAAGACTTGAAAAATCATCAGCCATAGGTCTACATGCTGTAGAATCAGGTCACAAAATTGATTTTAACAATATTGAAATAATCCAGAAAAGCTTCAGAAATCATAAATAAGGTCTAATATCAGAAGCACTTCATATCAAGTGGAATCCCAATTGCCTGAATAGGAATGATGAACTAAAACAGAATCTGACCTGGTTACAACACCTCCCTCCCCCATGAAGCGACAAAATCAATACGAATGTGGTATGCAAGTTCACTATGTAAACACACACTGCCTTTTTAATTTTAAACACTGATCAAATCCAACAATCTACACTTGATTTTGTTGTCTTTACCAATTGATCAACTTGACAACGAAAAATGCCCCCAGACAGACGAACGATGATCAAGTTAGTAAACTTTGTTTTGATACCATGACAGATGTACTATTACCTTTGTTATTTGGTTTAGTGATCTTCATTGATATTTGTTCTAATATTATAAATGGGAATATTTAAAGATTTAATAATACTTTGATAAAGCTATTAGCATTAAATAGCGAAACGTCAGTAAAAAAAAATATCGTTTTGTTTTTCATTCATTGGGAAATACGAAAACCTTTATAATAAAGTAGTGAAAACACTGAAAGATATTACTATACCCTTTACAATAGGAGTGGCCTGGTAGTTTACTAGGTATTAATTTAAACTTTAATTAGATTGATGCTGGTCCCAACAGAAGGATTATTAGTCATTGCTTTGAAAGTAAAAACAGATTAATTCATTAAAAATGCCCATTAAAATTTTCAAAAGAATAGACACGGAACAAAGAGAACTCTTTTCGATAAATTCATCATCAGGTTCTACAATTATATATACATTATAATGAATGAATGAATTAGTCTTATGAACGACATTAATGCTTAAATAACATCAAATCAATAATATTGATAAATTACAACTGAACAGCATCAACATAAAATAAACTGAATGTCAGAAGAATTAGGAAAGGTAATGGTACAAATTCATAAGTTTATAGTCTCTACTGAGGGTCAGGGCAGTAGTAGGGGCTGGACTTGTTTCTTTTGGACACAGAGCGCTGGTTGTTTGAGGCGAATCGCAATAGCCTCTGCTGTTTGGAGCAAGCGGTGATTCGACGATTTTGGCAAATTGCTAGGCACCCGGTATATTATGGAGAAGGATTCGTCTACGCTGGCTTTGTGACCGGTTTGCACCAGATGGTCTAATATCGAGCTGTTAATAGTTTTAACTACACCTTTACTTAGCCATAGTGAGATATGTTCTCGAGCACGAAAAATCAAGTTCCTAGAGCAACGGCCAACATAACTCGCTCCACAGCGCAGTTGAATTGATAGAAACAATTTGAAGTGGCCAGTCTAGGTACTTCATCTTTCAGTCGAGGTAGCACCATCGGTCGTGTAGAGAATAATACATGTAGTTCGCCAGCATTAAAAGTCCTTTGAACTGATTTTCTTAATTTCTTTGTAATTAACTCACTTGGTTTATCGCCCATGAATTGTAGTCGTATATAAAGGGGCTTCTTGTTTACAGATAGTGGGTCGTCCTTTTCCAGCCAGATACACATTGAAAGATGCGTTGTTTAATCTATTACTGTGTTTCATCATGACATGTTAGAAACACGATGATCTTAATGTGATTATAATGAACTAAATCTTCCAAATGTATAGGGTATTAAGTTTCTTAAGTAATTCACACTTTCGAAACTGAAGTTTTTAAAAGTGTTGAGAACACAGTTATCGAATGAAATTCATCATTTGTAAACTGCAGGAAATATGGTAAGATGGTAAATACCACAGATTGATATGAATGGCTAGGAATCACTGACGTCGAATACTGCTACTTACTGACCAGATAAAAAGGAACCAAATACTAAATGCCTGTGAATCTCAACTTGGACAGCTAAATTAATTCAAATCATATCTTTAAATAGAAAATATCCCATGGTGCCTACAAAATGTGTTATGCTGGCATTTTGCATCTGTTTTAGGAAGAAATTCAGTCATCAATCTTTCTTTTATTTGGTCAAACTGGGCCGTTTACTAAACAAACACTGCATTATATATTTATATGGTTGCCAACTATAAGTGTATGAGTAGTAAAATTAGTTTAATCACAGGTAGGACTTTTCTTGGGGATACTACCAAAACTAAAATCTGTTACTGTATGCAAATGACAACTACTCTCACATTTGTAGTAAACTGATTCTTTTCACAACATACAAACATCTCATAGTTGAAACGAAAGAGCACTGAAGACATTTTTTAGACAATGTATACAACTACTTCAAGTGACTAAAAGAACTGACCTTTTTGATAATTATTTAGCAGGAAATGAACGACATATTTATTGGCTGTATATTCAATAGAAACTATGTTTAAGGACTTAAGAGAATTGAAGGTCAATGATGAAGTGTTTAGTTTAATCCCAGATTATCAGGTTCGATTTATTCATCTCGTGTCATTTACAGATTTGTTTTCCTTATGTTTTGTGAAAAATTTAAGAAATATTTGTCATTGACTGATAAAAGTGAAAGTGAGGCTATTCATCAACACCACTGTCTCCATATTAAAAACATTTCCGTTATTGCGATCAAGAATGTCTGACTTAAAGGAGTTATAGAGGAATAATGGTTTAGGTGGTATCAGCTGAATAGTTAAATTTAACACACAGGTGAAAGTTGACAGTTCCAGACACGTCAATAGGAAATTTCATTTGCTAATCCTGTAAAGTATTCACCTGAGGCATGTAGTCCTTTTGTGGTGATATGATACAGACAGCGTGTGACAACGGATTATTATTTTCACATATTCCCACAATTCATTTCGGCATTACCAACACAATACCATATATCTATTTGAGCATTCTTTTTGATGTTACAGGCAGAATACTTTTTCCACGGTTCTATACTGCATTATCAAAAGAATACTGTGTTTGTTTGAACATTCTATTTCATGTCGTTTGATGTACACCGAAATCACACGCTCAATGATTAGTTGACGAGTATAAACTGTATATATAAACAGCGGTCTGATCAATGGAAAATATACCTTGGCTTCCGTGTCTTGCCTTCTGTTGTTATAATTTGACCTCATGAATTTGAGTAACAGCGTTAACCTTAAACATCCATTTCACAACCTACAGGTGAAGAAATGTGTGTATAGAAAAGCGTTGTGTATCACTGCTTCAATATATATCTGCCTCTATCTACACTATGGTCTGTGTATAGATTTCCTGAATCTTCTGAATGCCCGAAGTGAATAAGTTTCATATTAGAGTTCTAGTGACTTCACTGCTTCTCCAAACACATAAAATAAGACTAAGATAGAAGTGTAACTAATACCTTAGGGTCGGTTAGAAGTATGTGTATACGGGATGTAACTAATCAGTTTGATGTTTTAGTTTCAGTGAAAGTCACAAGTAATACCAGATAATTAAATATATTTTAAATATTTCAAGTGTTTCTTCGGCTAATTTCAATTAGATCACGAACTGACTTCAATCAAACAATCACTGAAAACCAGCGAGTACTGGACAGCTGTTTTGTCCTTTTCATGTCATTAGTCAAATCCCTGCAAAGATCGGAGTTCTAATGATAAGTCGTGATCAGTAGGGTCCACCAAATTGGGTGTGAGGACCGATACTTACCAATAACGTTGGTCGCACTCTATCGCGAATTTAAGGAAGTTAGAAATTTTGGCAGTTGGGTTCCATCACAATGGCTGAATGTTCGCCTTGTAACCTGGAGATCCTGAGTTTGACCCCTGCTGTGGTCATAGGTGAGTACTACTTGAGAGTCCCGAGTGGGAAAAAACAGCTGTCCAGTACCCGCTAGTTTTCAATTCTTTTCGAAATGAAGTTCATCAATGATACAAATTCATATAATTCAAACAATAGTTTGCTCTCCTTCGATGCTTTAAACTTGGAGCATTATAAATAAAGGTAAAGAAAAAAAATTGTGAAATAAGGCGTCATAGATTTCACTTTCTATCGCAAGCACCGATGAT